CCTGGTGGGCTGAGCTGGCCACACACACACACACACACACACACAAATAAATAAATAAATAAATAAATAAAAGAATCTATACTGACTGTTTCTTACCACGTTCTCGGTGAAGACTACCTTGTCAACCCTATCTCTGTACTCCTAGCCTCCTTTGCCCTTAGCTCCCTTTTCAGGCATAGGGGTGCACACTTGTAATCACAGCACTCAGGAGGCTGCAGCAGGATTGCCAAAAGTTGAAGGACAGCCGGGGCTACATAGTGAGTTCAAGAACCGCCTGAACTACACAGCAAGACCCTACCTAAAAAATTAAAAATCTTGTCTGAAAAAATAAAAACAAAAATCTAGCCAGGCATGGTGGTGCACACCTGTCATCCCAGCACTCAAAAGACTGAGGCAGGAGGATCACCATGAAGTTCGAGGCCAGCCTGGGCTATATAGTGAGTTCAAGGCCAGGCTGAAATATATAGTGTGACCCTGTCTCAGTACAAAAAATTCATATGTGCATACCATAAATAAATTACATATATATTATATTGATATATATATATATATATATTATATATATATAAAATTTACTTATGTATAATGGCTATTACTTATCTGTCCCCTTTCTGAGAAAAAAGTACCATGAAAAAAGGATCTTTCTTTTTCTACTCATTTATTTCTGTATCAAGTTTCTAGAACCACATTTACTACACTAAAGCACTCCATACGTATTTGTTGAACGAGTGAAAAATCCAAACTGCTATCCCAACTTACAATTTCCATAGCTGTTTGCCCTCAAACGTAACTAGCAACCACCAGGAACTTCCCTCCTGTCTCTTCCGGCCAGAATTAGCTGCTCTGTGTAGGGCGTGAGCAGCAATAGTCCCCACTCAATGAAAAGGACCATTTTATGTGACTCTGTGTTGGCCTACCAACAGTGCTTACTCACCAGTTGCAAAAATGAGGCAATTCTGTAAAGAAGACTCTCGATTTTGATGCGCTCTATCTCCAGTGGGCACGACCCTGTGAAGTCGGCCATGGCATACTGGCCAAGAGAAAGGAGGGCCTCTGTGCAGTGCCTGAGGGCCATATCATAGTCCTGCCTCTTTAGTGACTCACATGCTTGTTCACATGACTTTTCAGCTCTTCTGTCTTCCATGACTCAGGGACAAAAATCCTAAAGACGAGAAGAAAGAACAGAAGAGATTTTAAAGTTTTAATAATTATTCAATTCTAGGTTCACTTTTATCTCAACCAGTTTATCTATCTGCAAAGTTTCTTTCAATTACTCTCCTGAGCAGACATTCATGCTACAAAATCTAAATCTCTGCTTCATACTTTATGAACTCTTTGCTAAGAGCCAAGTCAAAATGCTAACCTTAAGCCAGTGCTGGGCCAGTGAGATAGCTCAGCTGACTAAGCACCTGCTTAGGCAAGCCCAGGGACCAGGATTTGATTCCTGGTACCACATGTCACATGCCACACCAGCCCTGCCCCCGAGCATGCTGAGCTGACCACCAAGATCAGGCCTGTAATCCCAGAGCCAGGGAGGCTGAAAACAGGAAGATCACTGCAAGTCCAAGCTGCATAGTGAGACCCTATACTAAATACATTTAAAAAAGAAAAAGATTAAATTGCAACAATTAAAAAATCATTTTAATAAAAACCAGTGCTATATCAAATTGATAAATCTGTACATGAAGCATGACTTTTTTTTTGGTACCGGGAATCAAACTCTAGACCTTGTGCTTGCCAGGCAGGTACTGTGCCACTGAGCTATATCCCCAGCCCAAAACATGACTTTAAACACTGCAAAGTACAACAAACATTAGATTCTCCTCCCCTTTTTTACAGGTGCAAAAATGCTTCACAGCCAAAACCTTCTATTTCAGTCTCCTAAAGTCAGTCTCGCAATTCTGTTACTGTAAGTATAGAAAATCAAACTCTATGCTGTATAGGACATTTTTTCAACCTACTGAAAAAATGACTAAAATGAAAGTTTGACCTGTTCATTAATTTGATTCAGCAAACATTTCCTGAGGCCAAGCCCTGAAGTCACAGCCACAAATACAAAGATGGAGCACCAGTTGCTGCTTTCAAGAAACTCAGATTCTAACAAAAGCATCAAAGCACTAGTGAACAATTGCAAGAAGGACTTACTCCATCCACCCAAAGGCACAAGCTGGTCTCATGGGCTGAACAGGAGTTCAGCACACAGGTGACCAGAGGAACAAATGCAAGCTTTCAAAGATGGAAGTCCAAGAGAAATCACTAAGGGGAGAAAAGCCTACCACTTAAACTCAAGGTATGGAGAAGGAGGAGCTACAGATAACCTCAAAGGCCCCGACAAGAAATGAAGACTCTACTCTGTAGGTGATAGAAAGTTTTTATATAAAGAAGCACGTCAAGAAGAGATAGTTCAGGGGCTGGTGAGATGGCTCAGTGGTCTAAAGCACCTACTTAGAACAAGCTTAGTAAAGCACAGGGACCACTGTTCAATCCCCCAGCACCACATGTCAGCCAGCCCCGCCCCCTGGTGG